CAAGTTTGCTTAGCTATACATATAAGAGATTTATTACAGCACTGTTTGTAAGGGGGGAAAAGAGGGGGGAAACAATGAAAGTGTCCCCCAAGATGAGGACTGGCTACATAAATCCATGAACATCATGGGATATAACATAATTCACTTTAAAAATAAAAGAGATGATCTCTATGTGCTGATATGGAGTGATCCCCGAGACACTCCCACACCAGGAGAACAAGTTCTTAAAATCAAATTTCCCACTTTACTAAAAAATTAAAAACATACATGCTTATTCTAGAAAATGGAGAAATGACAGAGCAGTAGAAAGGAAATACAATCACTCCTCATACAATCCAATCCCACAAACCTGGCTGGTGTGTGTATATGTATGTGTGTGCGTGCACGTGCGAGTGTGTTTTAACAAAGCTATAACAGTACTCTATATTCTGCTATTTAAGTTTAACTCCAGAGCAGAAGCACTTTCCCACGTTATGGTAAACTCTCTAAATATCCTTGCCTGATATTCTATCAAGAGGGCAGCCCCCTGAACGACTCTGCCGCCATCCTCCCCCACCCCCACCCCCCGCCCCCAGGAACTAGGCGGAAGGCCCTGACTTTGACAGTGACAGAACTGGACTGTTCACAACACACGCCCAGTACCTGCCAGGGTGGCGCCTCTCTGGAGGAACTCCAGGTGGCCATTTTGGTTGAACAGCCCAGGTTGCCATGTCAACAGTAAACAAAAAACACATTAGCTTTGTGGAGCGCCAGGACAAGTGAGGTTTGGAAAACTGAGCTGCTGTCCCCCTCTGAAGCTGCCACAGGCCACAGGAACACCACAGAGCCTGCTTTCAGTTACCTAGGATGGTGGGCAATGAAGAGGCACAGTCTTGTCCATAAATGGTCATTCTAGCAAGTACAGGGAATGGGAAGTGCAATCAGACACAGTCCCTAGCCCTGCAGGCAGCCGCTGACTCAGGATAACAGATGCACAAAGAGGTCTCCTAACCCAGGGAATGCACAAGAGATAGCCAGGGCAAGGTGTCTTAAAACCACATCCTGAGGGAGCCACGACAACCATCTTAACAGACCAGATCAAGCATAGTTTAAAGAGGTTTCAGGTAGAGGCATTAAAAGGGAAGCCTATCCCAGGAGCAGGGAGAGGTGGGGGATGAACAGAGCCCAGAACGGTCCCTGGGGACCATGAGCGCTCTCATCCTTGGTGAGGATTTTGAACTATGCCTTGTAGAAAGAGGGGCTATTTTTTGCTTTGTTTGTTTGAGGGAAGGGAGATGACCTGGATGTTTTGCTTTATTTTTCTTCTTCAAAAAATGCCTTCTTCTGCACACAAGTAATGCATATGTGTGGCTTAAAAGTCCCAAATGTTTGGGCACCTCAGTGGCTCCATCAGTTAAGCTTCTGACTCTAGATTTTGGCTCAGGTCATGATCTTACAGTTGGTGGGTTCAAGGCCTGCGTCAGGCTCTGTGCTGACAGTGCAGAACCTGCTTGGGATTCTTTCTCTCTCCCTCTCTCTCTGCTTCTCCCCTGAATTCTCTCTCTCTCTCAAAAATAAACATTAAAAAAAGTTCCAAATGTTTAAAAAAATATATAACATAAAGTCTCCCATAGTGGCACCCTTTTCCCCAGAGAGAATCACCATTAACTGTTGGGTATAAATTCCTCTGTCAGTTTTTGCAATGCAAATACTAAGATGTGTTTATATATTTTTTGATAAATGTGAGACTGTATTATATTTTAGCTTGCTATTTTACTTAATGGCATATAAAAATAAAAACAGCTAACATTTTATGTCCTAATTATGGACCCACACTATCCCTCTGCTTTTCATGGATTTTCCCTCCAAATATATATATACATCTTGGCACAGTTTTCGAGTCAAATCACATAGAAACATCATTTTTGTTTTAATGTAAATACACTATTCTCTTAGGACCATAGTTTATCATTTAAATAAGCCCCTCTTGATGGACCTTTGAGCTATGTCTATTTTTTCTTTATTACAACAATACTGCAACATCTTTGAATATCTAAAACTTGAGTATTTGTACAAATACTTCTGTACTGGTTCTTTTTTAAAATTTTTAAATTTTTTTTTTATCAGTTTTGAGAGAGACAGAGATAGTGTGAGTGGGGGAGAGGCAGAGAGAGAATCCCAAGCCAGCTCCAAACTGTCAGCACAGAGCCTGAAACTGGGCTCAAACTCACGAAACAGTGAAATCATGACCTGAGCCAAAACCAAGAGTCAGACGCTTCACTGACTGAGCCGCCCAGGCGTCCTTCTTCTGTACTGGTTCTAGACTGAGGTGGGTACCCTCCCACATGGGCTTTGTGGGGAACACGTGGGGTTGCCATAAGGAACAGGGCGAAGACAACAGTACACACAGTGGGAGCACTTGGGCTGAGGATGATTCTCAGAGATCAATTTGCCGTCTGAGGTATATTTTTTATTTTAAGAACTATTGTCAAATGGCCCACAAGGGTTTACGTTTTAGGTAAATACTGTCCTTCATCAAGAGAGCACCCGCAGTGAAGTCAGTTGAGTATTCTTCCATCCCGTCCCTGATTCTGAAATAAGCACCTACTGTGTGCAGAGCATGGCCCCAGGCACTGGAGATGAGTGATAAATGCTACAGTGCCCTACCCTCATGAGGCTCACCTCCTAAAGCCACAGACCTGCACATAAACCTTGTGTCACTGGGTCACTCCATCTGCGTTTCCTTTAAAGGCTTCACCAAACTATATTTTGTGGTCAGGGACTGGCTGGCTGTGTCTGAGACCCTTCAGCTCCTGGGCCCTCTCAGTGTCTTCCAAAAAGCCTCAACTGGGTTCAAGGGGTCAGCTGAGCGGTCTGCCCCCCAAGGAAGCCACCAGGATCCCCCTTTCCTGAAGCAGTCCCCTCTTGTGGGCCACTCCCCTGCCCCTCAATCCCATGCCCTGGACAGAAACTACTGAGTCAGAGAGAGCGAATGCCTGACTCAGGCTGGGCCAAGCAGATATTTGCCCCCTACAAACGGCATGGAGAGGGAGAAGGCCGTCTTTGCACATGGCTCCATCTGTAATGAGGGGACACTGGGGCCATAGGGGTCCATTTTCCCACTGTCCAGACTGGAAGCAGAGAAGAATAAAGAAGAGGGAGAGACAGGGAGAGACAGTACAGCCTGCTGTCTTCTGGTTCCTAGACTTGTGCCCTGAGAGACTAGACGTTGTTTCTTCCCCTGGGTCCCCAGAAATACTCCTGGACTATTATAACGGATACCCTTCTTCCCTTCAGCCAGCATGAGCTGGTTTCTGAGTCACGAGCCCTTAGCCCTCCAGACCCCGCTGGCGCCCAGATTTCCTCACACATGGATGCCTCAGGGATCAGCATTTCCTCCGGCCTCCCCAGCTCCCAGTGAAGAGACCGGAGTGCCAGGCTGCTCTGCTCCCCTTCCCGTGCTGCCCTCCATGGGGCTGGCTGTGAGTTTCAGAGGCTGGCTCAGGATGGGAAAGCAGGGCAAGCCTCAGTCTGACCCCTGAGGGGCCTCCAACCTCAGAGGGGACCCACAGGACTATTTCTGGAGCTGCCTGCCCCACAGAGACTTCAGCTAGAACTCTGGCCCTGATAGGAAAAAAAATCCAACTGTCCAAGAACTAGAGTTATTAATTTTTTTTTAAGAGAGCATGAGCAGGGAAGAGGGGCAGAGGTAGAGAGAGAATCTTAAGCAGCCTCCACGCTCAGTACAGAGCCTGATGCAGGGCTCAATCCCATGACGCTAGGATCATGACCTGAACCAAAATCAGAGGCAGATGCTCAACCGACTGAGCCGCCCAGGCATCCCTAGAATTATTAATTTTATAAAAACAGATTAATTTTGAAGTTAGAGAAGAATGGCTCCAATTCTAAATCCCAAAGTGGCAATTCACATTTTGCTTACAGTACTAACCTTCTATTGGCAAGCACTAAATTAAATCAGGATAACATTATTGCATTTAAAATTTTTTTCAGGGCGCCTGGCTGGCTCAGTTGGAAGAGCATGCAACTCGATTGCAGGGTCATGAGTTTGAATTTTTTAACGCTTATTCATTTCTGAGAGAGTGCGAGCAGGGGAGGGGCAGAGAGAGAGGGGGACACAGAATTCGAAGCAGGCTCCAGGCCCTGAGCTGTCAGCACAGGGCCCGATGTGCTGATCACAACCTGAGATGATCGAGCTGACCGCGAGATCACAACCTGAGCTAAAGTCGGACCCCCAACCAACTGAGCCACCCAGGCACCCCTCCGGGTCATGAGTTTGAGCCCCACATTGGGCGTAGAGATTACTAACTAAATAAATGAATTTTTTTCATCACCAGTTATTATACAAAAGCCCAATGTTTATCTTTCCCCCAGCCCTTTATATGAGCTTTGCTCTGGCATGAGCACACATCCCAAATAAGTACACTTTTCCTCAATCCAGAAGAAGGTTGCCCAACCCCAAGTGTGTTTTCATTTTAATTTTTTTATTAAGATTTTTATTTTAATTCCAGTATAGTTAACATACACTGTTATATGAAGGCAGTGGCCTTTTTGACCACAACCAACACGAAGAACTACATTTGACGTCACGTCCCTGCACCCACATACACACATGTCGGGGATGAAATGCAAATATTCACATGATTAGAGCCTGGCCAACAACAACCAAGTGGGTCACCACACATGTGAACGTGTCTGAGCGTCGGTCCCAGAAAGTAAGAGCTTTATAGTCTGCAGTGTTCTCCGGTATGCCCTCATGTATTCTGTTCTGTTGCAATATTTTAAAAGTTGGTCAAGGTTTCCATGGCCCAGGAGTGGGTCTTGAGCAGCTCTTTGAATAACATCATTCTAAAGTAATGAGACTTGTTTTAAGCCAACAAAACCCTCCCAGCTTAACAGGCATCTCGGCCAATGTCCAGAGCTCAGAGTGCTGCCCAATCAGTGAGCCCACTTCCCCACCCCTTGCGGCAGGTGGGCCAGGATGGAACAGGTGGTCCACTCACCTTAAAGTGGAAGGAGCTTGCAGGAGACCCGCTAGAGCCATAGTGCTCGCTCTTCGTTAGGTTGCTATAGTAGTTATGAACTTTGGAATTGACATTCTGGTGTGACCGGGGGTCATCTGTGATGGGGCAGATGAAGTAACCTTCCTCATCATCGCTGTCTGCCTCGGAATCACCGTCGTGACCAGTCCGGGGGGTCTGGCTGCCATCAACACCTTCCAGGCGGAAAATGAGGTCTTCGTCTGCCATCTTCCTGGGATGCCCGTGTTACCCAAGGGGCAGGCGGTACAGCCAGAGTTACAGGGCAAATGCAGCAGTGTGGGTCCTGCAAGGGAAGCAAGACAATGGGTGCCGGGGTCCTGGGAGTCAGAGCTCGCTGTGCACCTAACCACGAGCGCCCCTGGTGACAAAGAGCTGGCACCCTCAGAGTGAAAACTACAGCTATCTTTTGGGGAGGCACTAGGCAGGCAGCATTTAAGAACATTTTTAATGTACAAACCTGTCAACCCAGTAATTCCACTTCAAAGAACTCTGTGTTTGAAATAAGGCAGGGAAAATAAATGCTTCTTAAGCAACTCGAGTGATCGTTTTAGAACATAAAGTATATTAAATCATTCCCCTGCTTAACACCCTCCGGCAGCTTCTCTCCACATTATTAATAAAATGTAAATGGCCTTTAAGGCTACAAGGCCGGCCTTAGTCTGGCCCCTGCCCACTTATCCTCTGGCCTTGGCCGCTCTCCAAGGCCCACTGGTTTGCTTTCCATTTGGTGAGCATGGGAAGCCTATTTCTACCCCAGGGTCTTTGTGCTCGCTATTCCCTGTGCCTAGAACAATCTCCCCAACCTTCCAACAGTAGGTTCTTTCTCACCAGTTGGATCCTAGCTCAAAAGTCACCTCTCTATTCAAAGAACTCTTCTCATACACATATCCAGTCACCCCTTAGCACATCTCTCTGCTTTATTCTCATCAGAGATTTTCCCAAGCTGAAACCTCCTTTACCTTTTTACTGCCTGTATCCCCAGTGCCTCAAAGAGTACCTGGCATAAACTGGGCACTCAATACTTGCCCACAGAATGGTTGTGTGACCCAAAGAATGTTCTCTTTAGCATAATCAGTCACAGCAAAAGAATGGTAACATCCCACGATGTCCATCAGTGGAGTCTTGTCAATTAATTAGAGTTTTCTATACCATGAACGGCTGTGTGACTGTTATAAGAAAGGGGAAGCTCGAGATACACACAGACATGCAAAACAATCAAGAAAAAGTTCAGCAAGGTTGTAGGATAGAAAAATCAATAGTATTTCTACACACTAGGAATGAAAAATCCAAAAACAAAATTAAGAAAACAAGTTCATCTATAAAGAACTTCAAAAAGAATACTTGGGAATAAATTTAATAAAAGAAGTACATGACTTGTATACTGAGAAACACAACATGTTGAAAAAACTTAAAGACCTAAAAAAGTGGGAAGATATTCTGTGTTCACAGATCAGAGGATTTAATATGGCTAAGATGGCAATACTCCCCAAATTGATCTACAGACTCAAACCAACCACTATCAAAATCCGAGTGGTTTTTTGAAGAAATTAACAAATGGGTACTAAAGTTCATATGAAAATTCAAGGGTCCCAAAATAGCCAAAACAGTCTTGAAAAAAAACAGGAACAAAGTTGAAGGAGTCACACTTCCTTAATTCAAAACTTGCTATGTAGCTACAGTAATCAAGACAGTTGGTATCGGCGTGAGGATAGACATAGATTGATGGAAGAGATTTGAGAGTCCGGAAATGAACCCTCACATTTATAACCGTTGATTTTGACAAGGGAGCCAAGACCATATTCACTGCAGAAAGAATAATCTTTTCAACAAACGGTGCTGAGACAAGTAAATATACATGGCTAAAGAATGAAATTGAACCCCTTCCTTATACTCGTCATGGGAAATAACTAAAAATGGATCAGAGACTTAAATATAAAAGCTAAGAGATTGTCTAATATGGGAGAAAATCTTGTGATGTGGGTTAGGAAAGCCTTCTTAGATAGGACACAAACAGCATATGCAACAAAAGAACAGATAAATTAGGCACCACTTGTGGGGTGCCTGGGTGGCTCACTCAGCGTCCAACTCTTGATTTTGGCTCAGGTCATGATCTCACAGTTCGTGAGACTGAGCCCCACAATGGGCTCTACCTTGAGACACTTTGGAGCCTGCCTGGGATTCTCTCTCTCCATTTCTCTCTGCTCTTCTCCCACATGCTCTTTCTCTCAAAATAAATATTATACAATTGAACAATAAAATAACAACCCAAATAATAAATGGGCAAAGGGCTTGAATGAATTTGAATAGACATTTCTCTCAAGAAGACATACCCATGACCAAGAAGCATGTGAAAAGATGCTCAACATCATTAGCCATTAGGGAAATGCAAGTCAAAGTCATACCCACTAGAAGGGATAGAATAATTTTAGCAAAACCCAATAAATAACAAATGTTGGCAAAGGTACGGAGAAATTAAAACACTCATACACCATTGGTAGGAATGTAAAATGGTGCAACAACTTTTAGAAAATAGTCTGGCAGTTCCTCAAAAAGTTAACCACAGAATCACCATACAATCCAGCAATTCCACTCCTCGGTATATGTCCAAGAGAAATGAAAACATCTACATAAAAACGTGTACACATATGTTCATAGAAGTATTATCTGTAATTGCCAAATGGGGAAACAACTCAAATGTCCATCACCTAATGAATGGATAAACAAAATGTGGCATATCCACACAATGGAATACTATACACCCACCAAAAGGAAGGACTTACCGACACATGGGTGAACCTTAAAAGCATTATGCTAAGTGAAAGAATCTGACCACAAAACACCACATATTGAATGAATCCATTTGTATGAAATGTCCAGAAAAGGCAAATCTATACAGACAGAAAGTACATGAGTGAATGTCTACGGATGGGGGAGAAGAGAATGGGGGTGGGGGAGGGGAACAGTTGCTAATGTGTTTCTTTGGAGTCGATGAAAATGTCTAAAACTGTTGGTTTTAGTCTTGGTTGCATGACTGCCAATATACTAAAAACAGCTGAACTGTACACTTTACATGGATAGATTGGCAGGTTTGTGAATATTTTAATAAAGCGGAATTTTTTAAAAAGTCAAGAAAAACTGTGAAATTTATGTTTAAGATTTTACTTTCAAGTAATCTCTACAACTCAATGTGGGATTCCAACTCATAAACCCGAGATCAAGAGTCACATGCTCTACTGACTGAGCCAGCCAGGCACCCCACAAAACTGTTACATTTAAAAAGCAAGTTGAAGGGGCTCAATCGGTTAAGCGTCCGACTTCAGCTCAGGTAGTGATCTCATGATTCGTGGGTTCGAGCCCAACGTCGGGCTCTGTGCTGACAGCTAGTTCAGAGCCTGGAGCCTGTTTCAGATTCTGTGTCTCCCTCTCTCTCTGACCCTCGCCTGCTCACGCTGTCTCTCTCTCTCTCAGAAATAAAACAAAACCAAAAAACATTAAATAAAAAAAAAGCAAGTTGAAGAACAGCAGGTCTATTATGGTGATCCTACTCAAGTTAAAAGGAAAAGGACATTAGTAGATGTGTTAAAACTTCCCTCAAGGACTCCCAGGAACTCTACCAACACTGGGATGGGCAGTAGTAATGGAAGCTGGCAGGTGGGGGTGGGAAGAACATTTAAGAACTTGCTACAGGGGCACCTGGATGGTTCAGTCAGTTGAGCGGCTGACTCTTTTTTTTTTTTTTTTACTTTTTTTTAATGTTTTATTTATTTTTGAGAGAGAGATAGAGACAGCATGAGCAGGGGAGGGTCAGAGAGACAGGGAGATACAGAATGTGAAGACAGGCTCCAGGCTCTGAGCTAGCTGTGAGCACAGCCCCGACGCGGGGCTCAAACCCACAAACTGTGAGATCATGACCTGAGCTGAAGTCGGACGCTTAACCGACTGAGCCACCCAGGTGCCCCAAGTGGCTGACTCTTGATTTTGGCTCAGGTCATGATCCCAGAGTTATAGGATCGAGCCCTGCATTGGACTCTGCTCTGAGTGTGGAGCCTGCTTGGGATTCTCCTTCAACCTCTCTCTCTCTCCCTCTCGGTCCCTCCCCGACTGTGTGCACACACAAACTCTCTCAAAATAAAGTAAATCTTAAAAAAAAAAAAAAAAAAAAGAACTTTGTACACTGTTTTAACTTTTCACAAGCTGCATTGCTTTCAATATAAAATAATAAATAAATGAAAACAACTTTATTTTTATTATTTTTTTAATGTTTTATTTATTCTAGGAGAGAAAGAGAGAGACAGCGTGAGCAGGGGAGGGTCAGAGAGAGAGGGAGTCACAGACTGAAACAGGCTCCAGGCTCTGAGCTGGCAGTCAGCACAGAGCCCGACGCGGGGCTCGAACCCACGACCCGTGAGATCATGACCTAGGCGAAAGTCGGACGCTTAACCGACTAAGCCACCCAGGCGCCCCAAATGAAAACAATTTTAAAACATTTTTAGGTCGAGGCAATAATTCCGATTATTCTTAATGGCTCTCTCTATCGGCAGGCAGCCTCCTAGATCTTAGGCTCTGGCACTTTCTTAACAGCTACCATAGCAGCGGATATATTTCTATCCTAACTCAGTACACACAAAGTGTAAATTAAAATTTCAGGAAACCATACTTAGACTCACTTTGTACAATGTGTTCTGCTATTTTCTAGTCGACTTATTTTTGTTTTGCTTTACTTCTTTTTCATTTTTTCCCCTTAATGCACCACCCACAGTGGTTTCTTGAAAATCGCTGCCCCAGGTGTCAACTGCAGAGTTGTTTCTTACCCCGTGGGCAGGACACTCTCACAGGCTGGAGCCAATGCCTGAGCCATCTGACCCTGCTTGTTACCAAAACCTTCCCTGGGCCCTGGGCCCACCCCTCCCCCTCCGCGGCTCCCAGCCCCAGTGCCTGCTCTGCCCCCATCAGCCCTTGGCCAGAACCTTTGCTGACCAAGGCAGTGTGGACCCAGCCGGGTCACTGGCCTCTAGGGGCTGGGATGGGGCTGGGGAGGGGCCAGAACCTCAGCATCAACCCACAGACTTCCAGGCAGTGTTACCCAGGGGCTAAGAGCCTGCACTCAGGTACAAACCCCAGCTGTGCTGCTGCTGACCTGGACTACACTAATTCATCTCACTGACTCCCCCATTTGTGAGGGGAGCTGAGGGAAGTGGCCTAGATTCACAGAGTAACTATGAGCAGAGCCCAGACCTGACATTCTCCTTGACCCTGGGAAACAAAAGGAGCTGCAGACAAGCA